GCTGCCAATTCTACGCAACCATACGAGCAAACTTAAGCAAGATCATCAAAGAATGCTCAACCAGTCCAAAGAATGGAGACACACAATAGACTGTTGTTGAATTCCCCATGCTTTAAGGTGACTGATATATGGCAACAGCTAACAGATCCAGCCATTCTCAACAAGGCAAGTGTCTTTGGGAGCTGGACAAGTTATGATCCTCTGGGCTGACTTACTACCTGAGCTCTCTCTCTTTTAAAGATTTTATTTTTGTGTAGAAGAACTGGGGTGTAGGCCAGAGGAAGGAGTGGGGAACAGAACAGATGGATTTAGTGAAATACACTGCACTCATGGGAGCAACAAGAGAGAAAGGAGAGGTCTGCTGTGCCATATGTGGGTTAGCTCCCTGGCTGGGGATCAACTCAGGCTTTGGCTGTGACAGCGCTGAGATTATCCCCTAGGCCACCAGGGAGGTCTTATCTGAGCTCGTTCAGTTAACTTTACTAAGCATGGACATTGGATTACAATGCGTCCTGTTGGTGCTCATGACTTTGAGCACCCAAGTGCCATGGAGAGATGTCACCTACTCCTGCCTGGTCAGTGATGCTGGGTGCAAACAAGTAAACAAGGAGCACTAATCCCAGTGTCTGAGACCCTGGTTTCTGAAAAAGTCACTTCTTTCTAGTTTCTGTTCAATTAATAACAGGAAAAATAAAGCACTAATATCACTATGTATAATAGTGGAATAAGGGGAAAGTTGAGACAAAGTTTTTGTCCTTTAGACATTCCAAGATAAACAATTATCTTGTAACAGAAATGAACAGTTAAAGATTATCATTAAGCCAGCTCAGACTCAGGGTTAAAATTCAATAATCCTGGTGGCCCAGTGGGTTAAAGCACAGCACTGCAAAGCTGGCCTCTGAGGTGCGAGTTCGATCCCTGCCCTGGAGGTGACCCACATGGGGCAGCAGACCTCTCCTGGCTCACCTGCTGCTCCCCTCAGCAGCGTACTTCCTTAATCAACCTGTTTTGCTCCCCACTCTGTCTCTAGTGAATCCTCTAACTGCCCTTGAGCCTCTGGCCTGTACCCCAGTATGCACAAATAAAGCTTAAAAAAAAAAAAAGATTATCCTGGAAACACTTTTCTTTTCAACTCTTTATACAGCAGACCCTGCCTTCAATCTTGGCCATACAAAGCTGACTAAGACTGAAAGAACTTCCTGTCTTACCTAGGACATAAACATATAAACAAATACACGTGATTCTTAACTATGAATCATTTGGAGGAAGAACACTGTCATGGATCTTAGTAAGACCAAAAAGTAACAGATTTCTCACTGTTTTGAACACATAAGAACTGATGCATACAAATAAACAGTTTTCCTTAAAAACTTTCACCTTGGGAGCAATCCTCTTATCACTACAGCTATCTTCCTAACTCCTTTCTTAGGATGACATCAAATAAAAACTCATACAAGAAAATGCCTCACTCTCATGCTGTAGGTATAGATATTAATTTTTAAGGATGTACACCTGAAACTTAAATGTATACAATAATGCCATGTTACTTCAACAAAAGAAATTTAATTAAATAAAAAGTTCTGAAAATACAGAAAATCCTTCATTGCTCTATACCAATAGGTAAATATGGTACCACCCTGCCTGTCCTTGCACCACTGAAGTACACTGCTGAGGGGAGCAGCAGGCAGACAGGAGAGGTCTGCTGCACCATGTGGGTCAGCTCCCTAGCCGGGAATCGACTTGGTGATAAAGGACATTTTTGCTCTACAAAGGAAAAAAAAAAGATCAAACCCCTCTTCGAAAGAATAAGGTCCTGTCACTTTTGAGGATATTGAAAAAAATACGTAAGCCTCTGAAGGGAATTAAATCTAACAGCTGTGTCTGCATGGTTAGTCTGTAGAGCCTACCAGGTGGACTAGTTGGAGCAGGCCATTCTCAGTTGACTGTCAGACAAATTCCGCTGGCTGGGGGTGGGATAGGGGTAGGTGCAGGACTGTCTATCTGTTTCCTTCTTTAGATGGAACTTTGATGCTTGTAATTCTATTTCAAGTGAGTCTTCATCATTCTACCTGGCAACCCCAGTCCTTGAGGACAAACTATCCTCCAATTCTGGATGTGCTAAGTGACTTAAAAACATAAAGGCGTGTGGGCATTAAGGAGCTTGGGGGTGCTGTATGTCAGGGCCTCGGTCAAAGTGTCGAGTGAGGGACACACTGTAGAATGTTCTAAACACTAAAAAGGAAGCTGAGGTTAATGTGAGAAGTGGGACCACTTTTCACTTTCCTCACTGCCTTTTGCCCAAGTTCTTTCAGCCTGTCCTTACTAATAAAACAGACTTTCACCGTTGACTGAGGTCTAGAGACAATGGTCGTATACCTCCCCCTCTTCCCAGCACTGTCTCTTTCATAGCCAAAGATTTAGGAGCTGCTCCAAGGTAAGCTTCCTGGACAGGCTTTGTTCGTCTAATCAAGTGGGGGTGCCATTAACACCTGTAGCTCTACCCTTACCCTGATTAACCTTACCCAGGTACAGGCCTTAGATATGACTACTAGCAAATTCTTTAGTCTTTGGGGTCAAACATCCAAAACAGAACAGGGAACATGGCAGGGGGAAAGAGGGGCAGATGACAGGAAATTTTCAAGTTTCCACAACTCTAAATGTTCACATACCATACTCCCTTCACAACTTTCTCTTAAATTCATCAGACACCTAACTTCAGGAAGGTTAATGAGTACAAAGGCACTGACTAGAGTTATAGTAGTGGAGATAGCTCAAACCCACTGCTACTCCCTTTACCTCAGGAACAACCACTGCATTGCCATTCCAACAAGAGTGACTAGTGAACAGTCAACTCAAATTGCTCTTGTTGCCTCTTGAAAATAAGTGAGAGTGAACACCATGAAGGCTCTCTCCAGAACCAGGATTAAAGGCTGATGTGAAACACACCTCAAGAGTTTACCTCATTTAACCAGATCCGTCAGGTCTGCAACGTCACATTCTACTATTTCCTGAGTACCTACCCTGAGATACTTGAGTGAGGTATTTAGATCACTGGGACCTAGACAAGGCAAGTTCAGGCCCCTCCCTGATTCTACAAAATCAGAATCTGCATTTAAATGAGGTCCCCAGGTAATTCATACGCATGAGACACCTTTTCTCACTAGGGAAAGTTTCTCATTCTGGGCAGATACAGGGGTGGGAGAAATGGGCTCTGAAGACTGAGCCTTGGCCAACTGAGAGGCAGGCTAGGTTTGCGGACTTTGTGGAGGCAGGCCATGTTTCTGTGGCTTGTGAACGGTGAGCTGTGCCTGGCCTGCTGGACATCCAGACGCCTGGCGCTGCTAGCTTTCTTCCAGTTGGTCTTAGAAACTAAATGACCCAATGCCGCAGAAAACCTTCTAAGATCAGATATTTTGCTGCGATATACCAGTTCCTCCATTCCCATAGTGTATCAGAGTTCTCTATAAACAGAACTTTATTCCTATCTAACAACAAAGGATGAAAAAAGGCCACTGCCGCCTTCAGACCTGTCTTCATACCCACCCTGAACAAATCAAGAGATCTACACCCTCACTTGATGGAATCCCAAAATTGTCCTGGAGATGCATCATGGCACTGAGAAAGGGCAGTGTGAACTACAAAAGACCTAGGTGTGAAAGAGAATTTGCACCAAGAATGACAAGAAGAACTGCTGGGAACTTTTCTTTGAATCATTTTTAATAGAAGAGAGAGTGTTTCTCCCCTCTCTACTTGGCTGGTATTTCTTTTCAAACCAGAAAAAAAAACAAAACTTTGTGACATTGGACAGTGGGTACTGTCCTCCAGCTTTAGGGCCTCCTGAAAGTGTTTTGTAGAATAAGGTGGGGTGGTTGAATAACATCCAAGCCCCCAACAGTTCTAATATTGTATGTTTTGGATCAAACAGACCCCAAAAACACCTTGGATCTGGCAATGCTCCCTGGGGGTGGGACAGCTGCCTAAGAAAATAAGCATGTGACCCCTGAAGCCAGGCAGGCGACTAGGCTGTGGTCCTGCCGCAGGCTACCCGGAGTCCGGAGTGTGGCTACCCAGCATACACGGTGCCTCTGAGCAGGGCACCCGCATCGCTCGGGAGTCTTTGAATAGATTGGATCTGGAGCTGTGGAGGGGAGGGGAGGGCCAAAAGGGGATAGGAGGGAAGTGGTGAGCCACGAGGATTTCATCATGCAAAACTGCGGGCCGGTTTCATCAGCTGCTTGCTGTGCACCAGGCCTCGGGCGCTAGGGGGGAATGCCCAGTTCCCAAGGGCAGCCCTAGGCTGGCCCCCAACCGTGCCAACTCAGCTTCCTCTTCCTCATCCAGTTGGAGCGAGGTCACTCGGTCCCCCTCCTCCCGACAGAGGAAACGTGTTTTTCTGCACAGCCCAGGGAGCGGCCCCGGGTCCCTAGAGGGTGATCCCACACACGAAAACAGACAATGTGCACAGGTGCTGGGAGGCATTGCTGGAGCAGGCAAGCAGCCCAGCGCTCCGAGGGGGTGCGGACCCAACGCAAAACTTGGGGTACCTCGGGAAGAAAAAGGATTATGCAGGAGCCACCCACCCCAATGAGAACGCCATTCCCGTCCCTTAAAAGCCCCAGGTCGAGCCACAACTTGATCACTGGGCTACCCAGATCCCACCCTGTTCCTCCTCAGGACAGCCGTCAACATCCACAACGGGCAGTACACCTCGAATGTGGCAGTCCGTTGCAAGGGAGGGCGGGTACTCGTCTGTCTCTTCCAGAAAGAAGCCAGTGGGCAGTCCGCAGTCGCCGCTCTGCAGGGCGAGCCCTGGGGACAGGCAGCGCTCCCAGGGACCACCGGTGACCCCCGCTGGCCACGATGCCCAGCGCCCGTGCCCGCGCCCGTGCACCTGGTCGCCCCATACTACCGGTGGCTCCGGATCCCTCCGGCTCTGTGGAGTCAGTCTTCCCCGCCGCCCGTAGCCCGCTGGCACCAAGAGCCCCCCAAACCGCACCTACCTCCCGGGGTGGTGCTGAAGAGCGTGCCGCCCGGGGTGGTGCTGTAGTCCCCGGGCGGCAGCTGCACGCCGTCGCCGAGGACAACTCGGCGAGTGGCGGGGATGGCCCGGCTTGGGGTCTGGCTGCAGCTGCTGCCCCCAGACATGGTCTCCCGCGCGCGGCGCCCGCAGCCCGAGCTTGGCTCTCCAGCCCCTCCAGCCTCGCCCCGCCCCGCCCCAGTCCGCCCCTTCCGCCTCCAGCTCTCGCCGCCCCTGGGATTTGTAGTCCCCCGCGGTGCCGCCCCCTCGCCCCCCCGCCGCCCCTCCCCGCATCTCTGCCTGTGCCGCGCTTCCCCTCCAGCCCTGGGTGCGAGCTCCCCACGACCGTCACACGCGTGCGGGGCTCAGCACTGCCCCTCTCTGGCCTGCTCCTTTCGTTTCCCGGCTCCTCCCGCCACGCTGGCAGGAGGGTGAGGGTGGGGGTCTGGGGCGCTCTCTTGCTCTGCGCGGGGTACCCAAGCCTACTCAGTCCCATCTGGGAAAGCCTCGTTTCTCCTTCAGGTTTCCGTCCGGATGTTCTCCTCAACCCTCCCTGTCCCGTGCTTTAGTTCCTCAGTTGGGAAAGTGGAGCTTGATTGGTCGTTCGCCCTCATTGCTTGCTGAGAGCACCCACGATGGGGCAGGTTTTGAAGAAATGACGAAGGAGGCACAGTCCTTGATTTCAAAGAGGATGTGGGAGGACACGGGAACGAACCCCACTCTCCCCGCCCTCCGCACCCCACCCCTGGAGCCCGCCCCGCACCCAGGGCTGGAGGGGAAGCCCAGCGCTGGCAGAGGTGCGGGGGGGAGGGCGACGGGGGGGGCGAGGGGGCGGCACCGCGGGGACTACAAACCCCAGGTTCTTCACTCAAACGCACGAAGGGACGTCCCTTAGGTAGTGGGTGCTTTGTGAGGGTCATCAATTTTAGGAGGGGAATGAAGACACGGAGGAGCCTGGTGAAGCTGGTGAGTGGCTCAATGGCACAGGATCACCAGGAGCCTGCAGAACTTCTATTTGGACCTAAACAGCCTTTGCGGATGTGTCAGTCTAACTCAAACTGAGAAATTTGAAGAGAGTTTGGTAAAGGGAAGATTTACAAAGGTGTGGGCTGGAGGTAGGGAAACCACAATACCTGAGCCTGAAGAACTGGGGGGAGGGGTGTAGTTAGTGGGGTGAGAGAGAGAGAACACAGTGGAAAGGCCACACAGGAGTTATCACCTTCAGTCCGGGTCACATACCAGGAGGAGCTAAGAAGCAGAAACTCAGACCTTGCTGGCCCCCTGCCATTCGCCCCCCTGCCGGGTTCCTGATGGACTAATTCCTCTGGAAGACAAAGGACAAGGGAATCCATTAATACTGGTCTATAGGCCAGATTCCTGGGCTGGGAGTAGGGCTGAAAGGAGGGGGATGGTGACTGTAAAGGGACTACAGAAGATTCCAGCACTGTAGAGTGGAAGAAAAGTTGGGAGGGAGTGTGTGGAGCAGCCCAGAGCAAATCCCCTGTGTCAAATACGTGTCACACAAGTGTGTGTCACACATGTGCGCATAGGCTGGAAGTGTGTTGTACCCCCTGAACACCCCCTCCATGGTTTGGCGTGAGGGTGCTGACCCCAATCCACCATGTCCTCATGTATGAGGTGAGAAGTCAAGGCCCTCAGTTCCCACAGGTTCCTCCCCACCCCTAGAAATACCCTCTCCGCTAGGAGGTGAATGCCTGAAATTTTCCTATTTGCGCTTTGACTACTAAAAATACATTGAGACAAACAAAATTAGATGTTTATTAAAGAATCAAGAGTGAGGGTTGGAGCCTGGGAACAGCTTCCAGGTAGCTCTGGGAAAGCAGCTCTAATTCTGAGCTTTTCAGGTTTATGAAGCTATGCAAATGTTTCTTCAAAGATAAGGAAATTTGGAGCAGGAGTCTGTTTAATATATCTATCTAGCACTGAGGATAATAAGGGTTGCTCAAATTGGCTCTGTTCAACACCTTATCCTCTGGGAACTGGGTGGTTTAGCAACACCAGAAAATGTGAAGTTGGACTCTCTACAAAGTCACTGATGTGTCCAAAGACAACTGTTTTCAGGTGCTGCACCCTCTTCACAAGATGAGGCCATCTGTGTCCTGATTCTTGGCTTGCACCCCTTAGTTGAGACCAGAGGGAAGGGTACCCTTTTTATTGTTGATTTTAGTTACTTTTTTCTCAGGTTCTGCTAACTGTAACCTTGACGATCATGACACTACAAGGAGAAGGAAAAAGAACATTTACTGAGCTCTTATCCAGTCTACATTGTGCAAGAGACTTGACTTTGAGGGAATTACTTAAAATGAACCACAATGTTAGGAGTGTTGTCAGCCATTATTCATACATGAGGAAAATGACACATTAGCCTATCCACCTCAAAGACCAGATTTAAATATTTTTATAACCTGCATACATAGTCCAAAGTGCATATATTTCACTACCACCCCACCTTGGAGATTTATTCCCAAACTTCAGAATGCTTCAGATGAACTGGGAGCTTGTGGTGGGATCATTTTTCAAGAGCCTGTTTTATAGCCAGGGGAACTGCAAAGCTGTCCCCAAGAAGAGGAAGATTAAGATGGAAGCAATGTTGTTTTACTTATTAGTTCAGGCTGCTAGAACACAATGGGTGATTTAAAGGACAGATGTTTGTCGATCACAGTTTTGGAGTCTGGGAAGTCCAAGATTAAGGTTCTGGCTGATTTGATTCTGGCTTTCAAGTGGTTCACTCTAGTGTCTTTGAATGGTGGTGAGAAAAGGTTCTGGGCTCTCCTATCTTAAGGATTCTGATCCCATCATAAACACCCATCCCCGCCTCCTGACCTCAGTCAATCTAATTACCTCCCAAGACTCCACCTCCAAATACCTTGGGGGGGGGGGGTGAACTGGGGACAGACACACATTTAGTCCCTACCAGTCAGGATCTGAAGACTTCTGCCTGCTCACGATTGTGTGTGTGTGTGTGTGTGTGTGTGTGTGTCTGTCTGTCTGTACCTCTCTGTACCTCACTTCTTTGGCTGGTGACAATGCCCCACCTGTCCTGCACCCTAGGAAAGACTCCAAAGAAACTGCCATTTCTCTCCCTTGTCCAGACTCCATTAACCCCCTTTGCTCAGTCTTGAACTCACTGGATCTCACAGAGAGTGATGTTTTCAGCAGTAACATATTTGAAAAAAACTCAAACTGATGGAAGTGATATAATTTTCTGAGTCTTGTAGACAGAACATCTTGAGTTGAAAACCCACTCATGATCTCCGTGACCTTTGTCAATCACCCTGCCATTTGGTGATTGCCATTTCTTCTCTGCAAAATGGAAGAAACAGTATCTACCTATGTAAAATTTACAGTACATATTCGGAACCATGGTGGACAGTTTTACAATGATAGTTTTCTAGAAGCCTGCCTTCTGATTCCCAGACTTCTGCCTATGACGCCTCCATTTCCTTCATTTGAGGCATGAAATGTGACATTTGTTAAGTGTTTCAGCGTACCACCTAACCATAGTTTGTGCCTAGCCGTGGGGTCAGAAGGTTGGCTTGTATACATGAGAAAACGTGCAGACACATAAAATGGAAAGACATGGGTATTATGGGTAAGAATTGGCTGAGACTTACTTTCCTAAAGCTACACTCGTGCGTGGGAAGTGATAGGGGAACCCAAAAACTTTCCCCTGGGGAAGGGTGATTTGTTGGCTTGTTCTCCAGTTTATGACCGGCTAGGCTGGAGCGCCCTCTCCCGGCCATCATGACGAATCGCTAGGTTTTTCTTTCGTTTTAAGACCTGTTCTTGGGGCCCAAACGAACATGTGTCCTTTGACTTACTCAACAAATTATTACTGCGAATTTGTTTTTGTTTTTGTTTTCTGGCACCACAAGGGAAATCGAGATCTAACTTCTTACTCTTTAGTGACCAGTAGGGAAAATGACATTCTCACCTTCTCTGTTCCTGAGCCTGCTGGATCATTCACATCAGAGCACAAGAAGGAGCTGGTTCCCAGGCTGGTCAGCACTGTGGTTACCTTTTGGGGAATTTTGGCTGCCCAAGCTTCCCTCACGGCCTCTTTGGTTCCTGAATTGACAGCTCTGCTCTTGTTTTTTTTTTTTTTTTTTTTTTTTTGGTTCTAATTTTGGGGTAGAAGGAGGGTCTTTGGGAATGTTCTTATGAGGAATTAATCATGTCAGAGGATAAGGAGATCTGATCAGCTTTTCATTGTACCCTAAGTGAGAGAGAGCTATTTATGTGAAGGTGGTAAGGGAAGTGAGACTTAACAATACTCAAGATCTGCAATTTTAGATTCTATAACTTGACCAAAGTTTTCTTTAATTATTATTATTTTAATGTAATAGTTTATTTTTACATCATTTTGTACCTTTTTCCACCTCAGTTGTAATCCCCTTGGGCTTCCCATCACAAATCACACGTGTGCCATCACCATAGTCCAGTGCACTCTCCCTCTCCACCCCCCCCCTTTTTGATCATTCCCCACTCCATGCCCATAAAATGTCTCTGGTATATAATTGTTCATTATTATTACTCTCCCCCGCCCCGAACTTGACCAAAGCTTTTATGATTCCATTAGACAAAGTGGTTTCAATAAAGATAAAATGCCTTTCCTTTCAAGGAGAATTCTCCAGATGATTTTGCTGGAGATTTCTTTCAAACACTTGAAAGAAGAATAAACACTAATTTTATACAAATTCTTCTAGACAACAGGACAGGAGTATCTATCTAGCACTGAGGATAATAAGGGTTGCT